AATATGCCTATAAACAAAACAATCAGGCAATAAAAAATGTACGTGGCCAAGGTCGACAGTGTGATACACTACACAACTACCTTTGGATATGAATTCTTCCAGAAGTAGACTATCAGAACCTCAAATACATTTTATGGGTCTAATTTTAGGATTTTAAAAATTTTATAAATAGACAACAAGTTGTTAAGTTCGGCCAGGCCGATCTTTTTATAGCCTCCACCATGAGCTGGACATGCAAAATACCTAAAATCGTGTGTTTCAGGAGAAACCGAAATACTCAACTACAGACACTCAGATTGGGCTAATTCTTTGAACATAACAAAACTGACCCGTGACGTTTGAAAAAATATGTAAAAATACCGAATGGTTTTACTAAAGCGGGAACCGATATGGATAATTTTTGGTTGTGTGATATGACACCCAATAAGTATCCAAAATATATACATACAGACAATTTGTACCCAACATCTCCAAAATACCGCATACCGTTATACGGGAGATACCCCGAAATTCGACTCAATTTTAATAACCTTAAGCAAGAAGGTTGGCCATACTTTTAGATCCTAAACTACCAAATTGCAGCCAATTCCGATGAAAAACGTGTCCAACAACCCTAAAATAGCCAATATTGGTGGGTGCCATTGTATGGAGGTTATACCGAAACTTGGGTCAATATTAATAATTTTTGTATAAAAGTTCGCTTTACATTGAGAACTCAAAAATTACAATCAATTCGGTTGGGAATATCGTCTAAAGCGAATACATTACTGGAATCGATCTTTAACTTTTCACATCGAAAAATGGAACATATCGGGCAATTTGTATACCCTACACAACTATGTTGTCAGGGTATTATAGCTTTGTGCAGCCCCAAGAGTTTGTAACGCCGCGAAATATTGGTCCTAGACCCACCTTTAAGTATACCGATCGTCATATCTCGCCTAGCTGAGACGATCTAGACATGTGTGTCCGTGTGTCCATTATAATTTGTAAACACGATACAGGCCACATTTATGGAACAATCTTCACGAAATTTTGCATGTAGGGAGGGTTCGGCCCAATGAAGACCCTATTGTTTTGGTAAAGATCAGTTAATATTTAGGGGATGAAATGGACCAAATACTTAATTTTTGTCGGTTTTTCTGGTCGCTCCAGAGGCCGCAATTATGGCCCAAACATCTCACTTTTTTCATGGAGAAGGGGATCGGGCCAACGAATAAGCAAGCGGGCCAACGAATAAGCAAGATCGGTCAATATTTAGCGGGTCAAATGAACCCTGACTTTTGTGTGAAAAATGTTAAAATTTGTATTCTATGGCGTATATATTTACACCTGAATGATATAGACCCGAGAAGTTGATAGTATATCGGAAGAGGAGTTGTTGACCTTTAAATTGATACCAATTATATTGTCATATGTACTCGGATGCGGGAGTTACACATAAGTATTTACAGGTGCTTACGTATTCAGATACTGCTCCGCTCACTGGTTAAGATTATTTCCTAAGAGAGGATATTATTAGCGTGAATTTTTAAATATTATTTTTAAGGTCATAAATGAGATTTTTAAGCATGATTTTTTGTGGAATATTTTTCCGCACTATCAGGACCATAAACGTGGATAACTGAGCCACAAGTGCATACTTTTGGATTTTTTAAGAATATTTTTCCCAGGCTATAGGGCCCATAAGCGTACATTGTAGAACAATATTTCTTTCAAGATTTAGAGGATCACAAGCTTGAATTTATGCGGAATATTTTTTTAAGACAAAGTTCCAGCTGCAGCTCACAAAAATAATTAGAATACTAAATATAGAATTAGTTCAAGTATGGCCAAGAAGCGTCCATTACTTCTGGCACCTCCACTTGTAAATAGTCACAGTTTTGAAAAATCTCACAAAATTCTAAACGAGTCTCAGATAATGTTCTTAGGTGAAAGGTGGAAGACAATTGACAGGTCAACTGTATATCAAATATTGTTAGAGGAGAAACATGTTTTCATAACAAAAAAGAAAGAACAAGAAAAACGTGAGCGTCCGGAAATTTTACCAACGAGTAAAACACGAAACCGAAGGCCTTGGTGCAGGCACATCCTCCTGTAGAGATGAAGAAGGAAATCTGGTGACAGATACAGACAGCGTGTAGAGGCTCTGGACAGCGTGTAGAGGCCAAATCCTGGAAAAGACCCACGAAAAACACATATACACATACCATCTATTTGTCGAATATAAAGCCGCATTCGACAGCCCTATCCATTCAGAGGTGTTTAAAGCCATGCCTACGTTCGGCATTCCTGCAATATTAATACAACTATGCAGGATAACTTTAAGTGGCACAAGGTTAGCAGTTAAAGTAGGAAAGGACCTATCGGAGCCCTTCAAAACCGAACGAGGATTCAGACAAGGTGACAGTTTGTCGTGTGATCTTTTTAACGTCCTGCTGGAAAAGGTCATACGAGACGTAAAGGTGAACAGAAATGGCACTCTGTACACCAAACAACACATGTTACTAGCCTATGCCGACGACATCGATATAAGGGGTCGAACATTGCGAGCGGTAACAGCCACCTTTGAACAAATTGAAAAGGAGTCTGCCAAAGTGGGTCTGGCAGTAAACGGCGAGAAGACTAAGCTGATGGTATCAACGCGCAAGACGTCCAGTAGACTCGGACCAACTGTGAAACTTGAGAACTACAGCTTCGAGGTAGTTAAAGACTTTATATATCTTGGTACCGCCATAAATAAAACGAATGACATCAGTTTTGTGATGGCCAACAGATGCTACTATGGTCTATGTAAGCAGTTTAGAAACAAGGCCACCTCCCGCCAGACCAAACTCACACTTTACAAGACGTATCAGCATACCCGTGCTATTATATGAATCAGAATCATGAATACTTGCGCAAGCAGATGAAGCAGCTCTTGGGGTGTTTGAGAGAAAAATTCTCCGAAAGATCTACGGGCCGATCTGCGTCGACGGTGAATATCGGTGTCGAGTGAACCACGAGCTTTACAATTTATACGCGGACATCGACATAGTCAGTCGTATTGAGCTGCAGCGACTACGGTGGCTAGGCCATGTTGTGCGGATGAATGAAGATGTCCCAGCTCAAAAGGCATATAAAAACGAGCTTACTGATGTTTCTCGTAGAAGGGGAAGGCCATGAATTAGATGGAAAGACCAAGTAGAAAACAACATATTGGAACGTGGTCTTCCAAATTTGTGGACTTGCGCACAAGACCGACGCGCTTGGATATCTTTTTTAAGCTCGGCCTATGGAACAACCGTTCTGTAACAAGCCAGCTAAGTAAGTAAAATAAATAAAATCTAAATTTTAATGATTGTTTTTCCTAGGTCATAAACATGGATTTTTAAGAATATCATTTTCAAGATTATCGCGATTAATAGATTAGATTTTTAAAACATATTTTCGTAGACATAAGTGTAAATTTTTAAGAATATTTTTCCAATACTTTAGGGACCGTACTCGTGCATATTAGAGAATCACTTCTTTCAAGACTAACGGAACCATAAACTTGATTTTTAAAAACATGCTTCGCGGGCATAGGATAGTGCATTGTTAACAAATTTTTTTGTTTTTCCGGCCTACCAGAACCAAAAGCTGAATTTTTGAAGAATATTTCTTTCAAGACTATCGGGATTATAAGCGGGAATTTTTGAGGTATACGACTTTCGTCTAACTGGGTCATAATCGTTCATTTTTGAGCAACATTTTTCAATGCTATCAGGGCTATAAGCTTAGATTTTTAACAAAATATTTTAAACAAGCCTAAGAGCTTACTCTACGCTCCAAATAATCCAAGATTATAGGGACCATAAACATGGATTTTAGACGAATATTTCTTTTAAAAATATTTTTACTAAGACTATAAGCTTGATTTTTTGCGATTATTTTTGCCCCAGACTATCAGGACCATATGCATATATGGTCCGAAACCATAAACCATATTTTTCCGGGCTTAAAATCGTGGATTATTAACAAATATTTTTCAGGACTACCATAAGAGCGAATTTTTGAGAAATATGCCTTTCAAGACTAAGTGAGCCTAAGCGCGCATTTTTGCGGATAATTTGTCAATACTATGAGGACGATTACCATAAATTTGTTAAGGATATTTTTTGAGAACCATAATTATGGGGGTTTAAGAATATTTTTAATGGAGCCTAAGAGCGTGGAGTTTTCAAAAAAAAAAAAAAAACAAAATTCAAGACTTATGGAACGTAAGAATATTTTTTAAGGCTAAAAGTGGAAAAGCATGATTTTTTTCGAAATATTTTTTCAAGACTGTCATGAATGTTTGGTCCAAAATTATTGGAACCATAAATGTAGATTTTAAGAAATATTTTTTTTCAATACGATCGATACCATAAGCGTGGACCTTTAAGAATATTTTACCACGGGCCTATTAGAATATTTCTTCTAAGAACAACAAGTCCCTAAGCTTGGATTTTTTCAATATTTTTCGAACCATTATGATTTCTATTTGTGTTACAAACCTTTGGAAGAAAACCAACATATAATGCCATCACGACATATCTGTGTAGGGTATTTTAAACTAATGAAACATTTTGTTTAGGCTCACTTTAATAGGCGTATTTTGTTTGAATTCATTAGCATAATTTCAAATCAATAGATTAAGAAAATTACTACTGTTGTTGTTTTTGTTTGTTATATGTCGACTCGTGTAAAAATCAATTTTTCTTTGTGATGAGATGAATATCATAAATTATTGTGCTTGTTGTATACTCTCCAGCTCTCTCGGTTTGTTTGTTTATCTCCCAAAACTCCAATACTTCCGCCTATTGGTGGCGGCTATTGATTTCTTCGTTGAGATTTTTCTATTGTCCAAATATTTTCGGCTAACAGTGGCGCTTTTAGATTTAAATATAAAATAAACTCATCGATTGTTAGACAACAGCATTAGCTGCCAACCATCCGTACCATAAACATAACAATCAAACAAAAAACGACTAAACAAAATGGTAAGAAATTTAAAGAATAGAATTGAAAAGGTGGGAGAGGAGAATGTAAAAAACCACCATTAAAAATGTTTATGCCTCCTCATGTGTATATAATTGAAATGTAATAACTATTTGTTTTTTCTCTCTGTGCAGAAATTATTTATTGTTGCCCTTGCCTTGTGCGCCAGCGCTTATGCTGATGTATCGGAATTAGGTTATAAATATCAACAACCTGCTGTAGCTCCAGTACGTCAATACACCGCTCCTGCTCCAGTTCAGCAGTATTCTGTCCCAGCTCCCGTGCAACAACACAGTGTTCCTGCTGTAGCCCGTGTACAACAATACACCGCTCCTGCTCCAGTTCAGCAGTATTCTGTCCCAGATCCCGTGCAACAGCACAGTGTTCCTGCTGTAGCCCGTGTACAACACTACTCAGCTCCAGCTCCAGTTCAACACTACTCAGCTCCTGCTGCAGCTCCAGTTCAACACTATTCTGCTCCTGCTCCCGTCCAACACTACTCAGCCCCTGCTGCAGCTCCAGTTCAACAATATTCCGCTCCTGCCCCAGTCCAACACTACTCAGCCCCTGTTGCAGCTCCAGTGCAAAAATATAGCCCTCCTGCCCCAGCACAACATTACTCATACTCCGCTCCTGTAACAGCTCCCGTTCAACAACACCCTGTCTCTGTTCAAGCTCCAGTCCAACATCAAACCGTTCACATACCCGCTCCAGTACAACAACACTCTGTTACTGCACCAGTACAACAATATTCGGTGCCCGCCCCAGCTCCAGTACAAAAATATTCCGTCCCTGTTCAGTCACATGTAGCTGCTACAACTCCAGTCGGTCAATATTCGTACCCTGCACCCGCACCAGTACAAACATTCACTGCTCCTGCTCCAGTTTCTCAAGCTTCAGCTTCAGTTGTACAAGTCGCCGCTCCAGTTGCTGCTGTCTCTCAATCCTACCAAACCGTGCAAGCTACATCTGGCCAAACTCAACAAAGTAACCAAGGTTACCACTATAAGACTGCTCGCCGTGTTGTCTATAGACGTCGTGTCTAAATTATGATTCCCCTATGTGGCAAAAGTTCGTAATTGTTATGTTTTTTTGGTTTCTTATGATTTAAATATATTAAGGAAAAATAATGATTATACCAGATTTTTCTTTAAAGGTCTACCAAAAGAGTTCATAGGAAGAAGGCACACTTTTATAGAGGCTATATTAAATATGAAATATTTTTCCCAACATTTTTAGGAATATTTTTGCAACACTCTAAGCCTATTAGGATAATACCATAAGCTGATATTTGTTTTATAAATTTGTCCACGGCTAACAGAATCGTGAAAGAGATTTTTTTTAAGAACATACTTTTAAAATCTATCAGGACCATAAGCTTGGTTTTTAAGAATATTTTTGCCTAGACACTCAGGAATATAAAAGTAGATTTTTTTCAATATTTTTTCTACACTACAAGGACCACAAGCGTGAATTTTTCAAGAATTCTTTTTTCCAATACAGAAGATATATTTCCAGAAAGAAGATATATTTTAACCATATATTTTTAGCAAATAGGATGTTTTAGCAACGTGCTTCAAAGTCTATCGAGACCATATGCATGGATTTTTTGTTTTAAGTGAATTTTTTCTAAGGCCATAAGTGAGAATTTTTTTAAATATTAATTTCAAAGGTATCAGGAACATAACAGTTAAATTTTTAATAAAAATTATCACGAACATAAGCAAGATTTGTTAAGAATATTATGTCCAAGAATATTAGAGAGATTAGATAATTGTTCAAAGACTACGATGGGCCATGAATGAGAATTTTTCAGGAATATTTTTTCCAATACTATCAGGATAGGAACCCTGGGTTTCGAAGAATATTTTTTCCATGATCATCAGCATCATGAGCTAGGATTTTTTAAACCATTTGTTTGTAGACTCTCAGGACGATAAGCTTGGACTTTTTTTTAATATTTTTTTCCAAGGGTAACAAGACCAGTATTAGGGATACGTAGTCGAGCGCAAAAGTCGACTTTAAGACATTTCGATTTTTGCATCTGACCAAAAAGTCGACTTTTAGACTTTTCGAATTTTGTAATGGACTAAAATGTCGACTTTTCGATCTTTCGCTTTTGTCAAATCTATTCGAAAAGTCAATTTTCGACTTTTCGGACTAAAGTAAAATCGACTTAAAATTTGATTTTTATACCCTACACAACGATGTTGTGTAGGGTATAAAGGGCTTTGTGCAGCCCCAAGAGTTTGTAACGCCGCGAAATATTGGTCCTAGACCCACCTTTAATTATACCGATGGTCATATCTCGACTAGCTAAGTCGATCTAGACAGGTGTGTCCGTCCGTCCGTCCGTCCGCCCATTATAATTTGTAAACATGTTACAGGCCACAGTTATGGACCAATCTTCACGAAATTTTGCATGTAGGACCGGTTCTGGCCAATGAAGACTCCCTATTGTTTTTGGGTAAAGATCGGTTAATATTTAGGGGATGAAATGGACCAAAAACTTAATTTTTGTCCGATTTGCTGGTCGCTCCAGAGGCGCAATTTTGGCCAGAACATCACGAAATTTTACATGGAAAAGGGGATCGGGCCAAAGAATAACCATGTCTGTTTTGATAAAAAATCCTTCAATATTTCTTTCTTTGAAATGTCCCATGAGGTTCCAGTTATAGTCAAGGACAACGCCTATAATTTTCGGTGATGATCGGATAATAATTTTGGGATGAATAGACCGAATAATATGTTGTGTTTTTTCGAGGCCGCAATTGAATGCCAAACATCACAATACAACCCACTGTGAAGGGAATCTGGACAAGTAATTTGAAAGGCTATACTGAATATTAGTAATAATTTCGATCATGAGGGTGCAAATATCGCGAAATATTGACCAAACTCAGAATGTATAACCACAGAAAGTTGGATTTTCGTGGAAGTCGTGTGCCCCGTCCAACTATACTGCTGCGCTCACTGGTTTAGAAGTATTGTTGTCAACAGGTTAATTAAATTTTTGGAATGTGTAATTTTTTGGTAAATTTTGGCTTTGTGGTAATAAAGCATGTATTTATAAGTTTTGCGATTTTCTTAAAGATCAAAAATCGATTTCGACATTTAGACTTTTCAATAAAAAAGTCGATTAATCGATTAGTCGAAAGTCGATGTACTTATCCCTAATCAGTATTGTGGATATTTCAAAAGATTATTTCCAAGACCATCAGGACCGTAAGCGAGGATATTTTAATATTTTTTTAAGAATATCAGGATTATAAGCATGAGCCAAAAGCTTGGATGTTTTAAGAAAATTTTTTTCCTAAAATTAATAACCAGAAACTTTGTCATTTTTAGGAACATAAGGTAGGATATTCACGATCAAAAGAATTTGTTATGAATTGTATGAATATTTTTCCAAGTCTATCAGAGCCATATGCGCGGATATTTTAAAAATATTTCATCAAAGATAATCAGGAAATCCTATATGAAATATCCTACCAGGACTCTATTGTTAAAGTGTCGTCATAAATGTGAAAATAACGAGTGCTGTAAAAGTTTAGAAGTTTGTGTAAATAAAGTTTGAATACCCCTCGAATATAAAAGTGTGTTTTAATAATTTCCTCTGGACATCACTGGACAGTTAAAAAGGATTTTTTCAACAGGTTATGGGCCCAGGAAATTCGCATAAATAAGAGGACAACAGTTGAACAAATTAATAAGAGTGCTGTGCGGAAAAATGAATTCGTCAATTTACAATATTGAAAAGTTGGACGAAACCAATTATGACTCCTGGAGTTTTACTATGAGAGCTGTGTTAGTCCACCAGGAGTGTTGGTACATCGTAAGTGGTGCCGAAAAGAAGCCCGAAAAAGATGATGAAAAATGGGTAAAAAAAGTATGAGAAAGCGCTAGCGACAATTATTTTGAGTGTGAATCCAAGACAGATCGCCTACATTAAAAACTCCAAAACGTCTGCAGAGGCATGGATCACACTAAAGGATGTCCACAGACCAAAAGGCCCGGTACCTAAAGTCACTCTTTTTAAACAATTGTTGGACATGAGTATGGATGAGGAGGACTGTATTCAGCAACATGTGTGTAAGTTCGCTGTCGTAAGTGATAAATTGGCCGAAACTGGGATCGACCTGCAGGAGGAACTTTTTGTTATAATACTCCTAGCCAGTTTGCCACAATCTTACGAAAACTTCGTAGTGGCCCTAGAAACGAGGGATGAGCTGCCCAGTTTGAGCGCATTGAAAATAAAACTGTGTTTTAATTATTGCACATTTAAATAAGGAATTTTTAAAAAAAAAATCTTATAAGAAAATATTTTGTTCCGTTAAAAAAAAATGTTGCAGACTTTTGGTGCATAGGGTATCACATTGTCGTTCGTTCCTTTCAAAACACGTTCTTATTGGTTTCTTTTGTATTATTGTTATTATTATCTCGAGTTATATACATTTTTATCTTCGTAATTTATTGCTGAACACATGCTAATAATGTTACTTTATTTCCGAATATTTGTCATAACTTGCTACTGGTAACAAATAAATATATACCGGATTTTTCATTAACGTCATATTTTCAAAAAATATAACGGAAATATTTTGGGTGAAAGGTAATTCCAAATAATTCGTCAAGAATTATTTAATATGTTGTTAATTTCCCAATTATATTCAATAAATGTTTTTAAATTTTGAAAAACAAAAAATGTGTTGCAGAGATCGATCCTTGACATTGAAAAAAAGGAGCTCCACTATAATTTTTTATACCCTCCACCATAATATATTAGTTTTGTTTTTCAGTTTGTAACGCATCGAAATAGTCATTTCCGACCCTATAAAGTATATATATATATATATATATATATGATCAGCGTAAAATTCTATGACGATTTAAGCGTGACGATATATCGGTCCACGTTCTGGCATAGCTCCCATATAAGGGTGCCCCCAATTTTGTGGTTCTTGAGCGCGTTTTTCAACTGAATTCGCTGAAATTTGGTACTTTGAGTTCTTATTAGGAGGCAAATCTCCCCACTAAAAATTATAAATATAGGTCAATTTTTTTTAATAGCCCCCATATAAGGGTACCCCCCAATTTTCGGTATTTTGGGGTTCTTTGGCGCGATTTTTAACTGAATTCGCTGAAATTTTGTACATTGGGTTCTTATTGGGTACCAAATTACTCCACTAAAATTTATAAATATAGGTCCACTTTTTCTGATATAACGATACCCCCAAATTTTCAGTATTTTGGGGGTTCTGATCGTATTCTGATCTTTACAGACATCACATTTTTGAAATACCATTAACATAAAATTGGATGAACTAAAATAAGTTATCTTTATCTAAATGTGAACCGACTTAGATCAATCCATTTCAAGCTAAAATCAATCGGACATCCGTTGAGCTATGTCTGTATTTCATCAAAACGCAACTACATCATTCTATGCTCAATTTTGTACATCGTGCAAAATTGCATGTCAATCTGACAAACATGATGAGTTTGGAGCACCATTTGATCAAAATATATGTAAGCTATATCGAAATTTCAATCGATTTCAACGAAACTTGTCACAGGATAGGTTATACTAATTTTAGTATATTGTGTTCCTATCAGTCATATTTTGGGTCCTTGGTGCATCTTTTGCATAAAATCGGACGATAATATATATGGGAGCTATTTCCAAAACTTTACACACGTTATCTTATAGTATCTTGGGTACGTTATGCAAAATGTTGTCCCAATCGGCTTAACTTTGGGACTTCTGTGGAGTATTTACCAAAAATCTGACGAAACTATATATGGGAGCTATATATAAATCTGAACCGATTTTCCACATTATCAATACCCTACACAACTATGTTGTCAGCGAAATATTGGTCCTAGATCCACCTTTAAGTATACCGATCGTCATATCTCGACTATCTGAGTCGATCTAGATATGTGCGTCCGTCCGTCTGTCCATTATAATTTATAAACACGATACAGGCCACAGTTATGGACCAATTTTAATTTTTGTCGGGTTTTCTGGTCGCTCCAGAGGCCG